GGCTAAAAACTTATTCAACTGAGTTGATTCCTCTATCAATGTTTCAAAATGAGACAGCATTGTCTGAATTTCTACTACCTCATAAAATATATTTTTATACCCGATATATATATATATATATATAAAACAGTATTTGTTTTCTTCAAATATTTCATTTCATTCACTGTATTAACCTTTTTCCACCTGTTTTATTTTCAATTTATCACTTTATTGTGTGTGTTAATATTTCACTGCAGATACAAGATGAAAAGCAATTAGAAGTTATAAACAACAAGTTTATGAGCACATGCCAATATGTTAATTAGAATGATCTCATGTCTGCTACTAAAAACCCAATCTACCATTTATAACCTCATTACAACATGATAACACAAGAATTTCGCTTATTACAAAATTATATCATGTTGTAATGCACATATTTGCAATTCTATCAATATCTTAAATTATACTAACATAAGGGGTAACTAAAAGCCAAAGCCATTACTCACAGGAAGTTTTATTTGTAAAATGTGAAATATACTACCACCATTTTTGACATTAATAATTTGTATTAGTACTTGTACCAGGTTTTGATCAGTTGATCATTCACTTACAATCACTGAACAGTGTCATAGTCATGTGACCTAGATTCAGACTAGCCATGTTATAATTAAGCAATAACCCTGCGGCTCGTGCATATATGTCATGAATTGTGCAATATCCCGTGGTATACCCACCTTCAGCAGGGGGTTATTGCTATTATATTATACCAGTATATTGACAATTCGATGAAACTAGTAAAAAAAAGAGTTTACTTTCATCTACTAAAAGATTATGATTATGGCCCTTGAGAGGTATGTATGGGGGTTGAAAAACTAACTCTGCGACGCGATTGTGCAACTCGCCGAATGTCGATTATTGCACTCTGCGACAGGATCGCAGTGTCACTCTGCGAAGAGAAAGATTCCCATTGGTTGGTTGGTCGAAAATCGTGAATCTCAATGGTCGATCGATGTAAGGGTACACAGCATGCCTTATAGAAATGTTCAGTTTTAAATGGTTATTCTCGCGAACTACGGTAAACAAGTATTTACCGACGACATGTCGCACGGTTCGGTAATCAGCAAGTATTTAACATTGATTTATTAACATGTATAACATCCCCCGGAGGGGATGAGAGAGGTTACAAAACACATGCACGTTGGTGTTGGGTGCCTTATTACGGTGTAACATCAGGGAGCTAGTAACATTAATGCCATCTTGAAGTTGTAAGGCTTCGTCCGCAACTATGCTCATTAGCATAGGCGGCAGCTTCAAAGCGAGTTGAGCGCGAAGTACGTTTCACACGATCTGGGACACACTTTCTTTTTTTTGTCATTAGCAAGTATAATTTGTTATGACTATATTCATCACTTTGAATTCCCAAATAAAGCGTGTAACGGGTCAAACTGTTTCTAGGCAATCAATATCGTTTTATTAAGAATATTAAGAGAGAAAAAACGTAAAGCTGTGTGAATGGATTGAAACTACTGCTGAAGATGGAAAACTACTAGTAAAACGGCAGTGTCAATGGAAAATTAGATGAGTGCACGCTCTCTGCATAAACGGAAACGATGGCTTTGTTTATATGGCCAATGTCGACGAGCAACAGATTTCCTGTACTCACTTCCTCGTCTGATCACCGGCATTCAACGGTCTCATGTATCGGTGTCGTCATCGGTTAAAGTAGTTGAAACTCTCGCGTTGATGCGAATATTTCAGCCTAATTGACCCTTTTGAGCCACTCGTGAGGTTGGTCATAATATGACCTAGACGTGCTTGCAATCTGCAAATTCTTAAAAAATAAATATAAATTGCATAAACGAAGGGTGAACGCGAAAGTCCTGTAATTTTGTATCGGAATCACAACAGGCTGCAGGCAAGTCTAAATTAGTAAACATGACCCTGAGTTGCAGATTTTTCTTTGCCTCGTCTGTCATTGGCGTCTTTGCTTTCTTTTTTTTAATCACCATTGCGTTAGAATATAGACTTAGAAAATAAAACGATTTCTCAGACGAAGTCTTCACTGTAACAATGCTGACAATGAACATTAGATAAATATGCATTGTTTGCGACAGGAAGCTTGTCACCCACTCAGAATCGTCAACAACAGAGTATAACCGGTAGTATACATATACATTGTATAAACATTGTGCAAATATTAACGAAACGGTAGTAGTGTTAGCGTTTGAGCACTGGTCTTTCCGAAATTTCGAAAAGCTGGGATGATGAATCAAGATACAAAGTAACCGTTTTATCAATTATTGGAAAATCAAGAAAAAGAAAAAGAATTTCCCTTCCCGCTACATTAAGATCAATATGGACCACCGAAATATAGTGTTGATTTAAAAAAAATAAACCATAATTTTCAGTAATACTGACTTCAAAAATTATGATACAAAAATAATTACATTCATACCACAAACCACTGCTGTTTTTGTTTACTTTTCACAACTGTTACAAAGTATTTCATTTCTGGTGGTTAAAATACCAGCTGATCGATCGTAGACCACAAGTCTTGAGTTCGTTTATGATCTAAACGAAGGCAGACGATTGCAAACAACTGCTGTCATGGCAAACGTTGCATGTCGTGAATGATTTTTTTTTCACTGCATGCAAATTATTTTCCTTGATGCACTCAACAAAGTGAAAGCAGACGTACAACATTCGTTGCAGAACGCGTGAAAAGTACTTCGCGTTCCACTTGCTTTGAAGCTGCCGCCTATGCTAATGAGCATAGTCGTCGGGACGAAGCCTTTCAACTCCAAGATGGCGATAACACCGTATTAAATAGCAGTCAAAACCAACGTGCACGTTACACTATTTAATTTTTCTAGCCAGCGGTGTGATGTGTCAAAAAACCGTAAACCATGTGTCATTTGTTTGGTCCCACAATTTGTCTTCCATGTGCTTGCCGATCACCGAACAGTGTGCATGTCGCCGGTAC